TTCTATTACTATGATAAAACACCAGGGCCGAAAGCAACTTTGGGGAGGAAAGGATTTATTTCTGCTTACAACACTCAGGGCCCTTCCATCACTGAGGGAAACTGGGACAGGAACTCCAGGAAGGAACCTGGAGGCAGGAGCTGAAGCAGAGGCCACAGGAGAGCGCTGCTTACTGGCTTGCTCCTTGCGGCTTGCTCAGCCTGCTTTCTCAGACCACCCAGCAGGCCCAGGGGCAGCACCCCTCCCAGGGGGCCGGGCTCTCCCACGTCAATCATTAAGACAGTATTCCCTGGACTTGCCTACAGGCCAGCTTATAGAGGAATGGTCTCAATTTTTCATTTCCTCAAAGTTTCTTCTTCCAAGATACGTCTAGGTTTGTGTCAAGTTGACAAAAACCAACCAGCACAATTGACCCCTTGTCAACTTGACACACAAACACATCACCGATTAAGCTGTAAACTTTCCTTTCTTGCTAATCCCCATGATCACATGTTATTATCATGAGATAAAACATTCCCATTTTTAAAAGTCCCAGTCTTTAAAAATGCAAACACTTTATGAGTTCAGTCTCTTTTACAATATCCAAAGTCTTTTTTTTTTTTTTTATGTCCAAGCCTCTCTAATCTAATCCAAGTGCATTCTTACACCGAGAGAGAAAAATCAGGCCAAAGTCACAATCAATCCAAAGCAAAACCAAGGTCCAACAATGTAAAGAGCCCAGTGTTTAATGTGTGAGACCCACTCCTGATCTTCTGGGCTCCAAAGGGCTTGGAGAGCTCCACTTCTCTGGATCTGCCATCCAGAGCTTGTCTCCTAGGTGCTAGATCTCCTCCACAGCTGTTGCTGTCCTTGGTTATTATGACAAGGTGCTGGCATCTCCAAAATGCTTGGGTCTCCACAATCCACAATAACTAGGCTGAACTTTGCCTGTAGCCTCTCATAGGCTGTCTGAGGGGAACTGAACCATGTCAAGCCTCAACTTTTCTCCACGACCCCTTCAATCCTTGGGCTTATATTGCAACGGAGGCTGTACCTCCACCAATGGCCTCTCATAGTGACAAACCTCAGCATTCCCCCACGACCCCTTCATGTTTCCAAAACCAGTATCAGACAGGAAGAGTCTTACACATTTCCAAGTTTGGCTTCTAGTACAAGGTACAGTCTTGGCTGCTACTAGACCACAACTTCTGTGTGCTGACCCTGAGGAAACACTTCCATAAGATTCTACTAAATGATTCTGGTCTCTTCTTCATCACTGCTGATTATTCAGCTTCAGGTGACCAGCATTTATGGTCCCAGCAAAACAGAGGTCTCATTTTAGTAGTCCTGAATTCAAAATATTATAGCAATGCCCTTCCTGGGAAAGAATTGTTCTTCTGGTTCAGTTACTGGCAACATTTCTCCTCCTCTTCATCTAGGGACATATGGCTATGAAATGACCCTTCAAACCACCACATCTGTTTATAAACCCTACTGAGATGAAGGTAAAAAGGCCCAGTCCTGGTATAAGTCACAGACATGAGCAGCCGACATGCACAACAAAGAGACCCAGGTTGGGACAGGAAGGAGCTGTCAGTGACAGAAAAGAGACAAAGCTCCTGAATCTCGGTGCTCAGAGACAATGCACATTCCCGGATACGAAGACCCGAGAAGACTGGTAGTCTGAAACCTTGCCAGGTTCCTAATTACCAGCAAAGAACCAATTGGTGGTGGAGCACACACTCATCACCCTACAGCTAGGCACTCCTTCTGCAGAGACTCCCAGGCCCCACACAACGGCCAGCCACAGATGTCAGCCTGACCCATGCCATCAAGAGGGTCTTGTGGGAAAAACATCTTCCTCCTCCGGATCCAACATTACTATTCCCCGTGCAGGTCTGTCTTGAAGCAGGGTGCCTTCCTTCGGTGTGACAGAACTGTACTGCTTTCCTGGCTGTCTGATGAGGGGTCCTAGCTCCTCGATGGCTTTATCCACACTGCTGTGACCCCTGTGACCCCAGCAGAGGACAGAACTGTACTGCTTTCCTGGTTCTGTCTGATTAGGGGTCCTAGCTCCTCGATGGCTTTATCCACACTGCTGTGACCCCTGTGACCCCAGCAGAGGACAGAACTGTACTGCTTTCCTGGCTGTCTGATTAGGGGTCCTAGCTCCTCGATGGCTTCATCCACACTGCTGTGACCCCTGTAACCCCGGCAGAGGAGATGATGTGTAACTGACCTGGCAAGTTGACACCGCTTACCCTGCTCAGCCAACATACAGGTGTCCCGATTACATCACACCCCAGAGCTACAGAGAAGATACAGACCGGACGCCTGTCTCCAACATTCTCAGTTTTGGAAAATGGCTATGGAGGGGGAAAAGAAAATCACAACTGCCATAAAATTACACTGCTCCTTGGTACTTCTGGCCTGGCGTCTTTGAGGAAAACAATGGCTGTTTCTTACATTCCTCGACTTAAATGAAGCCCTGGGCGTGAGTTAGAGCTGTTTGTTTATTTTATAAGAATTCTCTAGACACGGAAACAAAAACAAGAATGAAAGGAAAGTCTCGGCACGGGGGGGGGGGGGAGACGAGTCTTTCCAGAGGAAAGACCACGCAGGGGCTCTGACGGCTCCAGGTGACTGGAGAGAAGCAGGCAGGTGTGCCCCAAAGCCCTGACGGCAGAGGGGCTTGGGGGGGGGGACTGGTGGGAGCCATAGAAACGTCCCTTCGGGCAATCGGAAGGCACCCTGCAGAACGCCAACTTTTCGGCACAACTTGACAAGCTCCCGTCCGAGCTCATCCACTGGCTGAGATCTGAGCCCCGAGTTAACCAGACGGGGAGGAACCACTCCGTCATCTTCTAGTCTCCCGTTCCCCCGGCTGCTCTGCCCCACCTCCTGAAAGCATCAGAAGCAATTTCCTTTCCAGCAGGTTGATGCTAGCTTTTCCCGGGGCTTTCATGAGGCACGTGTCTTTGAATGTGAGCTGGGAGAGAGAGCAAATCACTTTGGTTCATGTCCTGAGCCTTTATTGATTAGCTATTATGAGTCCTGCACTAAGCTAGGGGCTGAGGGGATACATAATGAACCAGAAAGTCTCTTCTGCTTCCGAGAGGCAGGCTAGAACCTACTGGGACTGAGACGTGGGGTTAATTAAGGCTCAGGCTCCTGGATCTGAAGGCATAAATGAAACAGGGTGCAGGCCATGGGCAGGACAGTGAAGACACCCAGGCAGGGAGGTAGGAAAGACTTCCAGCCATGTTCTCATCTCAACGCCACAGGCAAGCTAGCTGCCCACACTCTGCAGCCAGAATGACAGTCAAGTTCAGAAGCGATGGGGCTTTTCAAAGAACAGTCTATAGAGGGTTCTCGCCCTACTTCCATACTTTTTAAAGGCACTGTAGTACTTTATTTTGCCATCCAGCTGTAGTAATATGTAACTGACAAACACAAACGGCACACTTAAGGTGCCTGACTTGATGTTTGATGTTCCGTGTGTGTGCATTTGTATTTGTGTGTGTGTGTGTGTGTGTGTGTGTGTGTGTGTGTGTGTACACGCACACAGCAGGTGCATTCATGTGTGTGAATGTGGGTGTGTGCAGAGGACAACCTCGGATGTCGTAGGTCCTCACCTTCCACGTCGCTTCAGACAGGGTGTCTTCACTGCTTTTCTTTCCTCTGTGTAAGCCAGGGCAGGCGACCCAGGAGTTTCCAGAGACCCCTCCTGCTCCCACCTCCCATCTTAGCTTACAGACGCTCATGCTGTGGTTTTGGTTGTATGTGAGCTCGGGTGATCTGAACTCGGGTTTTCAGCCTTGCATGCCCAGCCCCTGTGCATCCTGAGCCTTCTCCCCAGCCCTTCACGCGAGCACCGTAAAGGGATCGATGAAGCTCCTATCATACAGAGCCTTGCGGATGCTACTGTGCTTTGCCTTTCACCCTGGTGAGAACGCTCAGGCTGGAAGAGCACAGCTTCACACTCAGCACAGCACTCTAACCCATCCCGACACTCTACACATCGGAGTCAGGTCACACAATCGCACCTGCAGCTCCTGGTCAACACGCCTTGTCCGACCTGCTCTATTAATGTTTCCTCCACTCCTATTCTTTAAGCACCAAGAAAAAAAAAATCAGAAAAACCAAGTCAACAACGTTTTCTTCATTTTTAAACTACTCTTTTTGTTTCCTGCTAAGTTTTTGTTGTTTCTTTTATGATGGATAAAAATTCTAAGTTTGGGGCTAGAGAGATGG